TCCAAGTTTTAAATTGCTGATTGGTGTTCTTATTATGAATGTTCAGATCTACTTACTCATCTATTATAGGACATTTGGTTATTTCCAATTTTTAGCTGGTACATGTAAAACTGCTATGAAGAATCATGCGTGGGTTTTTGTTTAGACATAAGTTTTGATTTCTCTGGGATAAATGTCTAGGAAGACAATTGTTGGGTTATATTGTAAGTGTATGTTTAGTGGTTTTTTGTTTTTTTTGAGAAATTGCCAAAATATTTTCCAGGGTGGCCATATCATTTTGCATCACCACCTGTGATGTATGAAAGATCCAGTTTTCCTTCATCCTTGCCAACAATCTGGGTGTTAATATTTCATTTGTCCTGTTTTGACAGATGTGCAATATCTCATAGTGATCTTAATTTGCATTCCCTTATTTGCTAATATGTTTAATATATTTTAATGTCCTTATTTGCCACCTGTAAGTCCTCTAGTGCAATATAGTTCATGTCTTTTGCTTATCTTTTGATTGAATGGTTTATTTATTAATTTTTTTTACTATTGTACTTTGAGAATTCTTTTAAAATTCTGGATATGAATTCTTCATCAGATATGTAGGTTTGGAAATATTTTCTCTCAGTCTGTAGATTGTCTTTTCCACCTTAACAGGGATTTGTTAAGAACTTTTGATGCATTTACTTAGCAAAATTAAAATGCTTTTAATTTCAATGAAGTCTGATTTATCTTATTTTTTTTTTAATGAATCATGCTTTTGGTGTCAAGTCTAAGACCCCTTCACTAAACATTTAGGTCCTGAAGATTTTCTCCTGTGATTTCTTTGAAAAAGCATTACCATTTCATGTTTTACATATAAACCTATGATCCAGAACTTTGAATTAATTTTTGTACAAAATGTGAGTTTAGGTTAAGGTTAATATTTTTGCCTACAAGTATTCAGTTTCTCCAGCATTATATGTTGAAAAGTGTGTCCTTCTTCCATTGCATTCCCTTCATACCTTTGTCAAAAACCAATCCAGTGCATCTTTATGGCTCTGTTTCTGGGTTTTCTGTTCTCTCCCATTGATCTAGGTGCCTATCTCTCCATCAACACAGTGCAGTCTGTTTACTGTACCTATACAGTAAGACTTAAAATCAGGTAGGGTGAGTCCTCCCATGTGATTATATTTTTTCTTCAAAATTGTTTTAACTACCCTATTACTTTAACAAATAATTTTAAAATAACCTTGACCTTACTAATAAAATATCTTCTGGAACTTTTACAGAAATTGCAATGAACGTATGGTAGCACTAGTGGTAAAGAACCTGTCTGCCAATGCAGGAGACATAAGAGATGCGGGTTCGATTCCTGAGTCAGGATGATCCTCTGGAGTAGGAAATGGCCATCTGCTCCAACATTCTTGCCTGGAAAATTCTATAGACAGAGGAGCCTGGTGGATTACAGTGTGTGGGGTTACAGAGAGTAGGAGGCTACTGCACACACACACACACACACACACAAATCAATCTGGAGAGAACTGACATATTTTCCAATCCATGACCACGATATGCCTCTTCATTTATTTATATCTTCTGGGTTTTTTTTAAACTTATATTTTAGTTTTCATCATGTCCTTTGTAGCTCATTCGGTAAAGAATCTGCCTGCAGTGCAGGAGACCTCAGATCAATCTCCGGGTTGAGAAGATCCCCTGGAGAAGGAAATGGCAACCCACTTCAGCATCCTTGCCTGGAAAAATCTCATGAACAGAGGAGCCTGGTAGGCTGCAGTCCATGGGGTCGCAAAGAGTCGGGCATGACTGAGCGACTAACACTTACTTACTTACTTGTTAGATTTACACTCAGATTTTTTTCCACCATCTGTAAATAGAATTGTGTTTAAGATTTTGATCTACAAATGTTCATTGCTAATGTATAGAAATACAATTCGTTTTTGTATATTGATCTTGTATCATGCAATTTTTCTGAACTTTTAAACTAGTACTAGGATTTTTTCAGATAGATTTCTTGGATTTTTTTATGTAGATAATCATACCATCTATAAATGAGAACAGTTATATTTCTTCCTTTCCAACCTGTACTCCTTTTAATTTCCTTTTTTGCTTTATGTCTCTGACTAGAACTTAACAGTATTATGTTGAATAGCAGTGGTGAATGGGTATCCTTACCGTGTTCCCAATTCTAACAAGGGAACATTACTTTTTCACCCTTAAAAATAATGCTAACTGCAGGTTTTTTGACAAATATTGATTGATAGAAATGCCATTTTGTTTGATTTTTCTCAGTCAAATTAAATCTGAACCTTAGTTGCTATGTTTATGATGAGGATCTATTTTGTGTGTGTGTAAAAACAGTAGGTTTATATAAAACAATTAGAAAAATAATAAATAATACTGTTATGAAAAATTTTCCTTTACTCTTCAAAGTTTCTTTCAGCTCATCTAGTAGTCAAATTAACATGAAAAACAGGATAAACAGGAGAAAAAGTGGAGTGTGAAGTAGCTCAGTCGTGTCTGACTCTTGGTTGACCCCATGGACTGTAGTATACCAGGTTCTTCCATCCATGGGATTTTCCAGGCAAGAGTACTGGAGTGGGTTGCCGCTTTCTTCTCCAGGGGATCTTTTCGATCCAGGATCGAACCCAGGTCTCCCGCATTGTAGGCAGATACTTCAGCATCTGAGCCACCAGGGGAGTCCTAAACAGGAGAAAAGCAAAATTTAAACTTATGGGGGCTCCACGAACATGAGCAATTCAAAGACAGAAAGCTAAAATGAAATCTGTATGCCATTCCAAGTTAGGGGCCTGGGGCTTCCAAGGACAGGATGGTCATTACAGGACAATAAGAAGAAAAGCAGATGTGGGTTAATTGGCTGTTTGCCCTGCCACATATATGGGCCACTTAAGTAAAATTGACCCCTGGCAATAATTCTAATTCTGGGAAAGACTCCTAATTTAAATGCTTCTAACCTAAAGAAGGGGCAAAATTTCTCCTGAATCCACAGAGTCGCCATTGCTTTTAGTACAAAATAATCTACCCACTAGAGTGGGGGGATTCACTGTGGGGAGAGTCATTCTGAACCCCTTCAATACAAAGAAAACACACTCCTGTGTTCTTGTTTTTGTTTTTTCTTTTCTGTGTTTTTTCATATAGTGACTATATGCAACGTAGTGATCACATTAACAATTACTTGACCAATTGCTTTAAAAATATCTTTTGTATTTGCTCTTGGTTATTGTCTTTCTTCTTATCACAAAGTCTTCATCCTTATGAATTAAAGTAAGAAAAAAAAAACCAAATCACCAACTACAGTTGGCTCTTGCCATTGTGTTTATGTAGAATTGATAAGCTGTAATCACTTTGCCAAAAAAATGAGGTGACTGTCACTTTATTGATAGGATGAAGTGGAAAATCAAAACCTTTAAAATATTAGATCTCTTAGTGAAATAGAGTGAAATATCATCATAGGACCTCTTCACTTTAGGAAATATTAGGGGCATGGGATGCACATGAACTAGGTATACAGATGCCATGGGAATTCCTTGGGGAGCATTGCCTGGCATTTCGAGTGTCCATAAGAGCTCTGAACACTGAGACGAGCTGTTTGCCAGAGTATCCTGGAGACGTGCCTTCTCCAGCATCGCAGGAGACACTGAAGCCTCGGCCAATCAGTGGAGACCTTCCCCAGGCAAGTGGAAGCTCTCGGATCGGCCAGCGATGGCTGCCGATTCCACTGGCACATTTGTCTGAACGGTTTGTACTATCTTTTTTCTACTGGCGTTTGCTTTAACAACAGTGATAAACAGGACAAACAGCCCAGAAACGATAGCTACATAGAGTTTATTTGGTTCTTGATATAGTTTGTCCAGCGGCAGTGCTTCTCTTCATCCAGCAGGTGGCGGTAAGTGATCATGAGAAGTACTATAATCGCCCTGAAGAACCTGGTACCTTGGGCTGTTTGGAAAAGTAATTCTAAGGGTGTATTGGACATCGTGCTTTTCTGAAGTTATCTTTTAATTTGAATATCTCCTGAAATATTTTTATTTGGTGCCTCTAAACTAGTGAAGTGGCACCTTCAAAGCATAAAGCAGATTTTCAGCTGAGCTACTTTAGTTGAAGGAGGGGCATGACGCCACTCTCCCCTAGATATAGCAGAAAGACCCTGTTTTGGCTCAGCTTCTCATTGGAACAACTGACCAGTAATTCTAATGACTAGGTGACTAACCTCCATCTGAGATGTCTGACAGTCATCTCAAAGTTAATATGTTCAAACCAAGCAATTATGCCCTGGGTCCAGCCTCAATAGGCTCATAAAAGCTGATTGATCATTTGTCAGAGATTTGGCGTTGACTTTACATTGGTAACTTGAAATTGACTATCATGGAAACAATTACAATAGAAACTTTCTATTGCTATAAACCAGTGCCTTCCAGCTGGTTGTTAAATATTCACCAATATCACACTTATCCAAACGTGCTTACCACATCTCTTCCCTTGCTTTCACATCCTATCAATTCCCAAACCTCTGATTCTTTCAGTCTCCAAAGTCCAGTTTAAATTCACTTCCTCCTATGCTCAACTAATATTTGACAAGGAAGCTAAAACTACCCAATGGAGAAAAGATATTCTCTTCAATTAATGGTGCTGGGAAAATTGTATATTCATATTTTAAAAAAATTAAGCTGGACCCCTATCCTACACTACTCACAAAAATTAACTCAATATGGATTAAAGACTTAAATATAAGACATGACACCATGAAACTCCTAGAAGAAAACATGGTTAAAGAGCTTCTTAACATTGGTCTTCACAATGATTTTTATTAGATGTGATTTCTAAAGCGCAAAATAACAAAAGCAAAAATAAGTCAGTGGGACTCTATGAAATTAAAAAGCTTCGGCACAGCAAGAGAAATAGCAGAATGAAAAGATAACCTACAGAATGGGAGAAAATATTTGCAAACAAAGCAACTGACAAGGGATTCATCTCTAAAATATACAAAAGACGCGCGGTGGGCAAGCTGGCGACTAAGAGGAGTGCAGACGCTGCCTGTGACCGTGTGGCGCGTCTCTGTGGGGCAAGGAACTGCAAGATAGCCAGAATGGCTGAAAATGGTGATAATGAAAAAATGGCTGCTCTGGAGGCCAAAATCTGTCATCAAATTGAGTATTATTTTGGAGACTTCAATTTGCCACGGGACAAATTTTTAAAGGAACAGATCAAACTGGATGAAGGCTGGGTTCCTTTGGAGATAATGATAAAGTTTAATAGGTTAAACCGTTTAACGACAGACTTTAATGTAATAGTAGAGGCCCTGAGCAAATCAAAGGCAGAACTCATGGAAATAAGTGAAGATAAAACTAAAATTAGAAGATCTCCCAGCAAACCCCTCCCTGAAGTGACTGATGAATATAAAAATGATGTAAAAAACAGATCTGTTTATATTAAAGGCTTCCCAACTGATGCAGCTCTTGATGACATAAAAGAATGGTTGGAAGATAAAGGTCAAGTACTAAATATTCAGATGAGAAGAACGTTGCACAAAGCATTTAAGGTTCAATATTTGCTGTATTTGATAGTATTGAATCAGCTAAAAAGTTTGTCGAGACCCCTGGCCAGAAGTACAAAGACACAGACCTGCTAATACTTTTCAAGGAAGATTACNTGGTGTTGGAGAAGACTCTTGAGAGTCCCTTGGACTGCAAGGAGATCCAACCAGTCCATCCTAAAGGAGATCAGTCCTGGGTGTTCATTGGAAGGACTGATGTTGAAGCTGAAACTCCAATACTTTGGCCACCTCATGCGAAGAGCTGACTCATTGGAAAAGACCCTGACGCTGGGAGAGATTAGGGGCAGGAGGAGAAGGGGACGACAGAGGATGAGATGGCTGGATGGCATCACCGACTCGATGGACATGAGTTTGAGTAAACTCCGGGAGTTGGTGATGGACAGGGAGGCCTGGCGTGCTGTGATTCATGGGGTCGCGAAGAGTTGGACACGACTGAACTGAACTGAAGTTTGCAATTCTTTTACACTGATCATTTCACCCCAACCAAATTATTAACATCACTTTTTATTTCTCATCTTCATTCACCCTGTATATTTGCTACATTTTACTCAAACCAGGACCCACGATGCACCCCCACGGCCACCTCCCACCACCCCATCTTTGTGTGTGCTCTGCCCCATCCCCCTGGAATGTCTTCACCCTCAAGGTTTTACTCAGATGCTGTGTTTCTTCTGCGGTGCTTTTTTCTGTCCTTATTCTTTCAATTCTGCCACTAAGTAATCTGATCTCTCCACAGCATGTCTCCAAACTTGTCCACTAATTCCTAAAATTCCATGAAAAGGGGAAACTGAACTAATGCACTGTGGTTGACTGGACCGCATAGGGGAATGCCAGAGTTCATGAAGAATATTCTGAGAGTCTTGCCAAAGTCACTCCCTTGTCCAGACCAAACCGGAGTGTGAGTGATGGATAGAGATTTCGGATGTGGGGTATAATGAAGGGGAGGAGGGCAAGGCTGGCAGGACGTGAGTTCTGTCTATTTAAAGCGGCTGCCTGTTTGGCAGCCCTCCCTGCCTGAGGTGAGAAGGCCGTTTGCGCTTTCATCCATATCAAAGGTACGGTTAACACCCTCGGGCCAGGTCTGTTAGCCTTCCTCATAAAAGCCTGTTTGGAGAGCTATCTCTGGGGAGGGAATTTGGGGTGGAAACTGGAAGAAAGCAAGCCTGAAACTGAATTGGGAAAGTACGAGATATATCAAGGGGGAAAAGGCAACAATTTTGAAGTGGAAAATATCTCCTGAGGAGTAAAAATAGTAGCTTTTAGGTGGCATGTGAGGCAGCTGGGCTGCTAACGCTCTCATTAGTCGACTTCTTGTGCCCCCGGGAATGTGCTCTGAAGGCCGATTGCTGTTTTCAGCACTTCTAACCAGCGGATATCACTACTCTGGCCATGGATTCTGACATTCCCCAAGACAGGCAGCTTAGCAGAGTTAAAGAAGCTTTGTTTTGAAAAAGCTGATTTACCAATCATTTTTCAAGAATTTGTTGGGTATCTGCTAAGAACAGATACTAAGTATCTGTCAAGAGTATCTGCTGAGTGTCTGCCAAGAACAGTGACAGGTGCTAGGAGAGGGAGAGATACAAAAATAAACACAATATTCAAATTTTGTTTTGCTTTTTTTCCCCTTTGGTGCTTTGGATAAAGTGAATGGTTTTCATCTGGGAAGACAACATAAAGAAGTGGTTGCTTATGCTAAAGATTCTACCTAGTGATTTTTTTCCTGGCCTCACTGTGAGGCATGCGGGATCTTAGTTCCCCAACCAGGGATTGAACGCATGCCCCCTGCACTGGGAGGATGGAGTCTTACCCACTGGACCGCCAGGGAAGTCCCTACCTTGCGACTGATGACTCTCAGAGCTCACTCCTCTTCTTCATTTCAACTTAGCACACTTTTAGTAAACTTGTACCCTGTGCTAAATACTTTGATGGGCCCTAGGAATATACATTTGAGTCAAACATCATCTATTTGTTCTGGAAGAAGCTCACTGCCTAGTGCTGGAGGCAGATTCGTAAACTTCTAACAGTATCCCTAGATCAGTTGTAATTGATGGAGGGGCAAACTGCAGGGCAGACATGTCAGAGAGAGTAAGCTGAAGGAGGCATTACGGAGGATGCTGCTATTTTTCTCTCTTTCACTCGTATGCTTTTTCATCACACACTTGCTAGGCCCTGGCATCCCTGATTCAGAGAGTAAAGTTAGACAGCATTTTCCAGTAGGAAGAGAACACTACCTGTGACAATTAGGCTTTTCCACTGAGCCTCCAGACTCCTCTCCACACGAAGCCCGGGGAACCATTCAGAGCCGTTGCCGTTTGCACAGGACAGAGACTGGTTTTTCCCCTTGGTCTCCCTCCTGAAATGATGCTCTGCTCCTCCATTCCTTTAATTCTTACCGGTCTGAAATTCCTGTTTTTGTGCCTAACATTCCCTGATGAGAGATTATTCCAGGCTTTATAATTTTAAATTGTGAACTTATCTTCATCCATGGAAATTCTCCACAGCCTGGCTTGGGAATGCGCCATTCCAAAAAGGTTTCCAATTTGCTTTAGTCAGGCACATTGAAGATATTAGCATTTGGGGACTAACTTTTGTGTTAATCTCCTAGTTTGACGGTTCCCAGATTAAATAATTTCAAAACTGTTTCAAACCTCGAACTACTTATGAAAAGACCCACAACTTTCAATGTCAGAAGAGAGGGTTTTTTCCTATCCGGGTAGACAAAGCCATTTATTCTGTGCTAGTAGTTTGATTTTTTTTTCTAGACCATCCTTTCAAGTGTTCTTGCTTTACTGGGTGGGGAGCTTAGGGTGGTGATCTTATTTTCATTTCTACCTCTTGGCTTCGCACTGTGTGTTCACATGGGTGCTAAGACCTCAGACTTATGTTTTCTGGGACTAGAAACCTTCTTGGCCGGCCCCGTTTTTTTTTTTTTTTTTTGGTTTTGTTTTTTATTTTTTTTTTTTTTGAGGCCGTTTTGGGTTTCTTTTTTTTTCCCTTTGGGGGGCAAGCATGCATTTTAAAGACTTTTGGTTACATTTTACCCAGAATTTCTTGGTTTAGACATGGTAGGAGAATGTTCAAGTTGTCTACTGCTCAGAAAGAGGAACTGTCCAGCAAACACTTAATACCTAATATCTTTTTCGCGCTCTTTTTCGTCTCTTGACAGACATGAAAACAGAGCGGAGCCTGTGACAATGTCTGATTATTTCGGCCTCTACAGATTCTAGATATAGAAGGCGTCCTGCCTTCTACTCCTTATGGCAGAAACAAATAATATATTAATAGTTCAGGCATGAATCAAATCAACAATTTTTAGTGTACTAATATGGTCACATTTCTTTATTTTTTATAGAATCACTTTAAATCCAACTGCCTTTACTGAAAGAGTCTACTGTCTCTCTGTTAAGGCTTCACCCTCTCCAGAAAATTATTCAAGAACTCCTAGGGATTATCCACTACGAACGAAGTCAGCCTCTAAGACCCAGACAGAACGGCCCAGCCCCTCCGCGCAGCTATGCCGGTCTCTGACACACGGGGTCGCTGTTGAGCCGGCGTCCCGCTGTGTCCGGGGTTGGTCGGGTTACTGCTCCACGTTCTTCCCTGCCGCTTCCCTCGTTTGGACAGCAAGGTTACACTGCAGCTCTTTTAGTTCATTCCCAGATCTTCAGCAACTGTTTCCTAAAGTTGTGACAGTGGCTGGGCCTGAGGGCCTTTTTGCCTCAGCCAACTGCTGTCCGCAGTGGTTCATCTCACTCCTTCTGGCCTCCTGTTTTGTAACAGTGCTTATACTGTGTATATTTTTCTGAAGGACATTAATTAAGCTCCCATTCTTTTAACTTCTCCCTTACACTAAAAAAAAAAAAAATCAGATTTTATTAGTATGATGATTTACAATTTCGTAATTTACCAATACTCAAAACTCCCCTTATGCAGGTAATACTGAGACCCAGGGGGAAAAAAAAGTGACTTTCCCAAGAGAATTCTACCAGTTAATGGAAAAACTGGAGCGCCGCTGTTCTCTGTACAAATAGCATATCTTTCAGACACTAACTCTTGCCACACAGTAGGCGGTTTGAGGTAAAAATCAAGCAACGCCTGTATATCTTCAGAAGTCTTTTCTTATTTAAGTATGCATGCTAAGTCGCTTCAGTCATGTCAGACTCTGTGACCCCACGGACTGTAGCCCACCAGGCTCCTCAGTCCGTGGGATTCTCCAGGCAAGAATACTGGAGTGGGTTGCCACGCCCTCCTCCAGGGGATCTTCTCAACCCAGGGATCAAAACTGTGTCTTCTGCAGCTCCTGCATTGCAGGTGGATTCTTTACTGCTGAGCGACCAGGGAAGCCCTGTCTGTTGGTTCCTCTCCTAACTGTCTGTTCTTCATTGCCCTTAGTGCCGAGTTGCAAAGTGAAAGTGAAAGGCACTCAGTCGTGTCCGACTCTCTGCGAGCCCATGACCTATACAGTCCATGAAACTGTCTGGCCAGAATGCTGGAGTGGGTAGCCTTTCCCTTCTCCAGGGGATCTTCCCAACCCAGGGATCAAACCCAGGTCTCCTGCACTGCAGACAGATTCTTTACCAGCTGAGCTGCCAGGGAAGCCACAACACTAATGTTTCTCAAAGTGTGGGCCTTAGTTAGACTAATAGGGTCAACATCACCAGGGAACTTGTCAGAAAAACAGATTCCGAGATCTCACCCAGACATGCTGAGTCAAAAACTCTGGGTGTGGGGACCAACAGTCTGTTTTCACTGCCTTATAAGAAACCCTGTCAGACAACACATATAGTCTTTTATCTGTTAGATACTCTGATACAGTGCTTGACCAGGTACCTAAGATTTTGAAGGTCTTGAAAAATGTTTGCAATTTGAAAAACAAAGTAATCTCCAAGTCATAGAAAGAAAATACCCAACTGTAAATCAAAGTTAACACATTGGTCACTATCTACAACACAAAACAGTATGTCAGTCGACTAAACCTAAATTCTTAAAACTACTTATATGTTTAATTAGAAATGTAGGTGTCTTTTAATATAATATGTGTATCTTCAAAATAGGTGCATACTTTGGTCTTGTTTTGTTGTTTAATTATTGAACATAGAAATTCAATTTCTTATATGGCATCTTTGTAGATGAACATTAAATATGCAGGAGGGACATCATCAATTTCCAGACATGTGTTCAGATGACCACAAATATTGGCGTAATTAAAGGAAAGAGAAAATTACTATGTTGCAGTGAACTCCCACTGAAATGGCTTCTTAAACTAAATTATTATAGACAAATGAAATGAGAAAGAAAAGACAAACCCAAACTATATAGCCCTAAAGGTTTGTTACAGGAGGGCATCATGCTTGATTTCTGTTTTCTTCTTCTCTCTGCTCATTTACCTCTATATTCTCTAATGTAATGACATGAGATATTTAAGTAACATGAGGTGGAAAAGAAGGAATATTTATTGATTGCTTACCATATATCAGCTTTTGTTGCCTGCGTGCTCAGTCATGTCCAACTCGGCAACGCTGTGGACTGTAGCCCACTAGGCTCTTCTGTCCATGGGATTTCCTAGGCAAGAGAACTGGGGTGGGGTGCTATTTCTTCCTCTGAGGGATCTTTTCAACCCTGGGATGGAAAACTGTGTCTTCCTGTATCTCTTATATTGTAGGTGGATTCTTTACCGCTGAGCCATGGGGAAAGCCCATATATCAACTACTATGTGCCTACTACCTAACAAATGATTGGGAGAACTCACTGAAGGCAATACTAAATTCAGTATTCACATTAAAGAAGAAAGCATTGACTATTGTTTCTTTTTACAGATGGGAAATCTGAAGTTTAGGAAGTTTAAATTACATTCTAAGGCTGCACAACCATAAATACGGATCCAGGATTAAAATATCTTTGAGACACTAGACACTCATGATTTTTCCACCTAGCATGCTACCTCTCTGAGGAGTAGTGTTAATAGTGAATATCAACTCTGGACAATTTTTACTATACAAGACATATGGGTGCCATTTATTATTGTTTCAGGATCTGGAAATTTGTGAAGTAACTA